GCACTACCACCCACGGGAAAAGAAGGTTATAACTCATGCTTTATAATGTGTGAGATTCTACTATAATATGTCCTATCGTTCTGTCGGTCAAGAAAGTATACACTCTGCTCCCATGGCCAATGGTTTATGGACGGTGAGTACCCAGTGGGAACTCAAAATTGATTCACAAAATCAGAGCATTCACAATTCAATTTCAACTGGTGGATTCCATTGTTACCATTGTTACTGCTTCTACCCCTGCAACATTAGAACAATTAATTCGTTCACACAAAAATGAGAAGGGGTTGTGCCCAAATAAAAAAATAAAAAAAAATTGAAAAAAAAAAGAGAAATGGAGCAATTGAGATAGGAGGAACTGACCTGTTCAGGTTTGGGGCAAAGGTTCAGTTATTACGTATACAACACCGTAGACAATCTCTTTCAATAAAACTGACTTGTTCAGGTTTGGGGCTACTTCTCAGCGTTTGGGGCAAAGGTCCAGTTATTACGCCTGTCGTTCATGAAGTGATCGAACGACCTTATGTAGGTCGAGCCAAAGTTCAGCAACGAGGAAGACGTAGGTACTACAATGGGTACACAGTCAAAGTCTCATTAATAAAATAAGCAATACACAATACAAAGAAACAAATATAAACTCTTAAAATCATAAATCAAAGCACATGAAAAGAATGTGGTTAACTTAAAGTTAATAAACTTCATTTTTATAAAAAGCATTTATTTAAAGCTTATCAGTTATTCTTATGAATTTCCCTTCTCACTAAGAAATTGTTAAAAGGCCTAACAAGTGCCCCTGCACAAGCTTGACAAACCTGCAGATCTTATAAGTTATAACCAAGCTCTTCATAGAGGAGCATCTGGTTGCCATGAAATTCAGGCCTTATACATTACTTCTTTTGAAGGTTACACAATTTTTTTATGAACATCATATAAATAGTTGAGGGGCATCAAATACTTGCTAAGTATCATCTCTAATACTAATCACATTTCCTTCTTATACACTAAAATGTGCATGCATCTTGCTTTAAAACTTTGGTCTCTTTCGTCGAATTCAAAACATAATCTATAATGTCCAACCATAAAGCATATGTAAATTGTTAAGGTTATGATGGATAAGAAGCAATTCCACAAAAAAAATCCCACAGATGGATCTATATTTCACAATAAACTCTTATAATCATGAATGAAAGCACAAGAAATAACATATTTATGAACATAATCTGAAAACAATTTTCCTGAAAACAAACAATATTGAAAACAACCAAACAACAATATTATAATTCTCTGCAATTAATTCGTGAAAACATACTATAAAAACAAGAAAACAAAGCCTCATCCTCATAGGATTGATTAAGTGCATTTGAACACTTATAGATCCACAAATAACACTCTCACCACGAGCCTCATATGAAAACATCCAACACAAAAAATAAAAAAAAAGGCGAATAAATAATTCTCTCAAAATCTGAAGAGAATGAAGCGATACCGAATCCCAATAGAGTTGCGGATTTTCAAAAGCTGGACCATCTACAAAATAGAACTCAAAGTGAGGTTGGGGTTGATTTGGTAACGCTATTGCAGAGCTAGAGAAGGGGAGAAGTTCGTTCTTCGTGTAGTATTGTATGAGTGTACAGTAACCACAAGGGTTTAAAACTAAGAAATAAAGCTTAAAACTAAAAACATCAATTTGGGCCATCTGGGTCAGTAAATTTTTGTTACAGAAGAAATAAACCCCAAATTGATGTTTTTAGTTTTAGGGTTTATTTATTGGTTTTAAACTCTTGTGGTTACTGTACACATACAATAATACACGAAGAACGAACTTCTCCTCTTCTCTAGCTCTGCAATGGCGTTACCAAATCAACCCTAACCTCACCTTTATGGCAGCGCCAGCAGCAGTCTCGAGTTGAAGAACTTTGACCCCATCAACTTCCTAAAAAATACATTGGTTTTGGTTCAAAATGGACAGATACTTTCTCGATAGAATACTGTAGGAGAATACGGTTGGTACCTTTGGGTTGGGAATGATCTCCATCTTCAATGAATCACCCTGAACAAGTCTGTCGATTGCCTTCAAGTTGACCCATCTGCCTCATATTTTGATACATTGTCAGGGGTTGCCAACAAACATAAGCAGATTGTAGAATGTAGATTTAGATTTGACTCACAAGTTGTTGGTATTGAAAATCTTGAACTTCTCAATCGACTTGAATTCATTGACCTGTATCAAACAGAATATCATATATCAGCCTTGACAAATGAAGCAGATTGTCGGATAATTTTGTTCTCTATGTGGATGTAATAGGAACCAAAATAGATAGTACTAAGTCAGAAAACAAGTAAAAGTGGGTCACAATGTAATATGTGATGCTGTTACAATGCATCCCAATAAATCAGATGAAAATGTTGAACCCCATTGTATAGCTATTGTATACCCACTATTTCAAACATGAAATAATTTCTGGACCAACATTTGTGTTTGGTGTTTCTATGGAGCTGGTAAGTTTTCATGAACAATATTGTGGACCTAATCCTTTAGACATTGAGATAACTCTTTATGTAACTGGGATTATCAAAGCACTTCACTATTTTATTTACTTCCAGCAATTACTTTGGAAAATGATACACAAATGCTGTATTGAAATGATGCACAAATGCTGCATTGATGAGTAGAGTACATAATTATCGAGGAACCAACTGCAATGAATAGAATCATTGTACTTGAGCATGAATATGAAGGTGACAACGGAAATAAAGCTCACATGTTCATCAGGAACTTGCGCTATCTCCAGCAGCTGCATCATTAAAAATAATAATAATAATTAACAATAATAATAATAATAATAATAATAATAATAATAATAATAATAATAATAATAATAATAATAATAATAA